TATACCTCATGGGGGAAAGAGAAAAACCTGCCCAGAAATCTGTTGAGAAGAAAACCATCATAAATATCAAAGCACATCCAAGGAGAAAGTAATGTGTCCTAAATTTGAGAATTAGGTTGTTTCCCTTTTTAAAAGGGATTCTGATGCTGTGAGCCTATAAAAGCCTATAAAGCAAAGTGAAGTCAGTGTGGGATGAGTAATATACTTCACAGAAAATTAGTTAAAACTCTTTTGGATTGTATTTCTTTCCATTTAATTTTAGGCTATTAATCAGATATCTTAAAATAAGTGTCTTTTCTATTTTTTCTCTGCAAACCCTCTGTTTGTGTGAACATGATGAAAATGTGTTGCATGCATATATATCTTATATATAAAGCAGAATTTTAGAAATAGAGCAATGGGGCATTAGAACAGAAGTATTTCTGCTAGAGTAAACTTTAGAATACCCATAATGCAACAATAACATCAAAAGTGTAGAAATTAGGCTAGTCTCAGGGATTCATGCCTGTAATCCTAACACTTTGGGAGGCTGAGGCAGAAGTATTGCTTGAAGTCAGGAGTTCGAGACCAATCTGAGCAAAAGTGAGACACTGTCTCTGCAAACCATAGAAAATCTAGCTGTATGCCTGTACATCTGGCCTATGCCTGTACTTCCAGCTACTCAGGAACCTGAGCCAGGAAGGTCTCTTAAGCCCCGGAGTCTGAGATTGCAGTGACCTGTGATGATGCCACTGCACTCTATCCTGGACAACAGAAGGAGACTCTGACTCAAAAAAAAAAAAAAAAAGTAGTATATTCCTCTTCTCTCTCTCCTCTCCTCTCTCTCCCCTCTCTCTCCTTTCTCTCCTCTTCTATTCCTCTTCTTCGCCCTCTCCTCTCCACTCTCCTCCTCTCTCTCCTCTTCTTTCTTCTCTCCTCCCTCCTCCTTGCTGCTGCTCTGCAGCATTGCTCCCTCGCCAATAAAGACCTTATGTACAAGCTGTGGTAGTCTGTGAGATCTCTGCCGGTCAAGTGTTACCCTTTCATCTGGT